CCTCGTTCGCCCATGCATTTCTATGTATACGGCGGAGCACCGCCGCCCTCGTTCGCCCTAGGGTTTAGGGTTTATACAGCGGAGCACCGCCGCCCTCGTTCGCCCTAGGGTTTAGGGTATATACGGTGGAGTGGAGCACCGCCACTCTCGTCACACCGCCCTCTCTCGCGGCCTAGTTGATCAACATTCGTATTATCGTTATCGTTAACGCTAAACAATCACACTAGGGTGAATTGCGTCGGTGACTAGGGCGAACCGCGTTGTTGATGTCACCGACGTGGTTCGCCCTAGTCACCGACGCAATTCGCCCTCGGCCGTTTATGTATAGTCCTAATTCGCCCTAGTACCGACGTAGTTCGCCGTTTATGTATAACAAAGATTTGACGTACTATATATTGGTTTTGTTTTTTGAAGCTAGATGGCCGACCCGAGAAACATGGATGAGGAGGAGTTGATGATGAATTTGATCAACACTGGCACTCAAGTTGCTGGCGATGATGGTGCTAAAAATAACGTGCAAGTGGATGCAGATGACGGGAGTCAGTACTTAGCTCTTGAACAAAATGAGCAACAACATATTGGCCAAGTATATATTTTTTATTATTAGCTATATATATTATAATATGTCTTATGTGTGCTCATGACATTAAAAACAATGTTTATGTTTTGTAGCCCTCTGGATCGACATCAACAACTACAACGAAGAGTAAAAATGTTTGAGGTCCCAAAAAGTCATTGGAGGGTCGCTTCATCATCTCAGAGTTCAATGTGGATACAGGCGAACCGGGGGGGCCAAATAAAACAAAATTCATGCACCACTATGGTTACCTTGTACGGGACCGGCTCCTGATCAGTACCCACGAATGGAAGAAGAAGACCAATGCTGCTCATATCAGTTTTGTCTCTGATCGTGACAAGACGTTAATTTGGAAAGATGTCTTGGTACATTTCATGCTCTAAACAGATGGTTATGATGATATAATAGATGGTGATGAATTGAAGGAGCGAGTTAGGGATTGGGCAATGAAGAAGATGGCCACCTAGTTTCAGACTTGGAAGAAACACCTATACACGACGTATGTCAAGAAGAACATAGCACCAGATTTCACTATCCCAAGCCCGATCTCAAAGCAGAGGCCCTATTGGGATGAGTTTGTACAGTACAAGATGTCGGAAGAGGGTGTGAGTCGGGTGATAAAGAACCAACGTAATGCCCAACAGAAGACATACCACCATAACTTGGGATCTGGTGGCTACCCGACTGCCATTAAGAAGTGGAACAAAATGGAAGCAGACCTTCTTGCCAAGGGCATCACACCAGAATCACTCAAGTGGGGAGAGCGTGCAAAGAATTGGTTTTTCGCTCATGGGGGAACACTAGACCAGGAGACAGGGAAGTGCGTTTATGGCGCAAGACTGCAAGAAGCAGCAGAAAGATTGTTTTATGCTCAGAGAGCTACTGCTAGTGGTGCGTTCAGGCCCAATAGAGAGAAGGATGAACTGACATACGCCATCGGGACTATTGAACACGGTGGCCGAACTAGAGGCAAAGGAAGTGTCTCATGGGAGCATGGATTCCCTCAGGACAGACCTTCCTACAGAAGCCGCCAGAGAAAGAAGGAAGAAGAGGCACAGCGGCTCCAGAGGTTGGAGGAAGCGGTGCGTGAAGCACAGGAGCGGGAAAAAACCTTGAAGCGAGAATGCTGGAGGAAATCAGAAGGCAAGTGCAAATAGCAGTGAGTGCAAGCAAGCAGGCATCAGAGCCAGGAATCAACATTAGCCAATCTGTTCAGTTGAAAAGCAGCTGCGCTTCCAAGGAGATACCAAATCAAGGGGACACAGGACTGCGCTTCCCTGTGGATGACGTCACTGAACCTTGTACATCGTGTGAGCTACACATTCCGAAGGGGAATTCCACAATCAAGGTGGCTATCGGTCTTGTTAATCCTATCGATCGAACCAAGACACTAAGGATTCATAAGAATATAATCCAAGAAGGATATGCTACCATCTCGATAGATAAAGCTGAAAAAGGTTTTAGTGATTTGCCTCTTGACATTCCTGGAGGTGATGGCGAGAAGACTCTAGGAGAAGCAGAGAAGACATTCATTCTATGGCGCAAGCGCTACATCATCATTCCTGGGATGTCGCCTCCACCTCCTCCTGAACTACCTCACCATAGGTGCGGATGAAAACACTACATCATTAATTTATATTGGCTTAAATAATTAACAATCTGCTCGTAATAATATGTTATTCCTTTTTTTGTAGCAAATCCTCCCCCAACCTAAATCCAATTGTTCAATCGCCAGATCATCATAGTGCTCTGTACGATGACAATGTGTTGGAAGGCGAGGCTGCATCCATACCATCTCCAAGGAGGTCTCCAACGCCGCAGCCACCACCTCCAAGGAGGTCTCCAACGTCGCTGCCACCACCTCCAAGGAGGTCTCCAACGCCTCCCCCGCCCCCGCCTACCAAGAAGCCAAGTACTAGCAAGAGGCTAGCCCCGCAAACGAAGAACCAGTCCCCGCCGGCAAAGAAAGCCACCGTGAAACCAAGGGCTATTCCCAAAATAATATCTGAAGAGAAGGAAGAAGTAACTGATGCATATAAAAAAAGATATGTCCAGATTCTATGATAAACTTAAAAAGGATCAAGAAGCAAGGAGAAACCCGGAGAAACCGTACTTCTTCGTAGCTCCAGATATTCTAAGAAAAAAGGTGGCTTCTTACCAGCAACAACAGCGGGAATCTCGTAAGCCGTCCAAATCAACGTTAACGAACTATGACCGCACTCTCACCAAGTCAATTGAGGCAGCACAAAAAAGAAGCGGGCAGGGAAAGAAGTTGCACAACTCGGACAACAATCGCACCAATCAGTCCCCCGCTAGTTGTTGGTAATGAATATGGTTCAAATTTAGGATTAATGCATCAGGCAAACATACCTCCGGATGTCGATTTGGATAACCTTGGTGAATTTATTGAAGAGACTGGTCTCGGCCTTTACCAGATGTTTGGTGATGGAAACATTGAGAGTGCGGCGGAGGTTGATATTTGGAAGAAAAAATTTGTACTAGGCCAGAGTCTATACAACCCTCAAGCCTTAGGTGATCTAGGGATGCAAATGTACCTGCTAAACAAGTGGTACATGCAGGCGTCTACCGGTGGAGACTTCTGCGTTGGTGTCAGAATTAGAGACGAACATTGGTTCCATGGCGATGATGTTATGTATGTTGACTTTGCAGAATTTCATCAACTATGCCACCTGACCTCTCTGAACAAAGTTATCATTAGCTGTTATTGCCTGTAAGTAATAATTCTTTCGATCTATTATTAAACTCATCATATGTGTGTATATGCATATAAAGTATCCTAACAAGTACTATATATATGCAGATTTACAATAACAGAACGCAGAAAGGAAGGCTGCAATGAAATTGGTTTTGTTGATCCCCATATAGTATTCAAAGACCCAGTTACTCCAAAGCCTAATTGGAAGTCTGAGTCAGAGAGTAACCTCATGAACTTCTTAGTGAACCAACGCCACAAGAAGGATATACTCTTTCCCTACAACTTCAAGTGAGTGTTAATAATGTAGATCATCCTTAATGGCTCATATGTTGATTCTAGTTAATTAATGAGTGTTATGCGTTATATCCTATAAACACATGCAGCAATCACTGGATATTGATGGACATCGATCTGGTGAAAAGTCACTTGATAATTTATGACTCGATGAGAAAACCACAACAAGACTACCAAGATATGATAGATATTATCCAGAGGTAATTTCGGTATCTCTAACAACTATATATACACACAAACATGATGATTAACTATATCTGATGACGTGGCAAATTTTTTATTAGGCAGTGTTTGGAAAACCTTTATTGAGAAGCAACACATGGGAAAATGCAAAGCGCCACTGAATGTAATCCCTTTGAAAGTAAGTCCCCTAAATCGCATCATCTTTATTAATTAAACATATAGCTTTCACCGGATCACCAGATTGGATGACAAATCTTTTTCTCGTAAAGTGGTGTCTGAGGCAAGAACAGGGGAACAACTGCTGTGGTTACTATGTTTGCAAGTTTATCAAGGAGGTCTCCCAAAGAACTCCTACAGAGAGACTCAAAGTACGTTAAAAATACACTATATATTTATTTAATTATTATTATTGATTGTGTTACTATATCTTTATATATATATATATGTACGTACATATATTAATTTATTTTCCTTTAATTCAAACCTGTAGGCTCGATGGTTGGAGGAAAAGGTCATACGGCAAGACCAAATCAAAGTAATTCAAGAGTCTATAGCCGGATTTTTTAATGACCAGGTCATCGATTCCAAGGGCGAGTTCTACTTCGACCCAACACTGTCATGGAAGCCAAGCTAGAGGATGAGAGGAAACTTGTTATATCACAACAACTGTAATGCAATCTTTTGTAATATATGCACATGAAATAATATAATGTAAAATACACATATGCATGCATGCATGTAAATATATATATTTGTATGCTTGAATTGTGTGATTTAATACGTTCATTGTGCTTGAACCGAAACATACTATACGTGCGTATAAATGTATTATTAGCAGCGTACAATACGACTTCGAAAACCTATTTTGAAAAGAAAACAAAAAATGAAAAGAAAAGAAAAAAGAAAAAAAAACCTTTAGTCCCGGTTTGTATTACCAACCGGGACTAAAGGGTGCCGGTCTCATGGCATGTCAGGAGGCACCTTTAGTCCTGGTTGGTGTTACCCATCAGGACTAAAGGTCCCTCTTTAGTCCCGGTTCCTGACCCGGGACTAAAGGACCCCCCTTTAGTCCCAGATGCTTGCTCCCGGGTGGGGAACCGGGACTAGAGGGGGTTCCCCACCGGGAGTAAAGGTCGTCTCTGTACCAGTGTATAGTTACCCGTCTCCGCATCCATCGCCAGCCTCCTCAGGTCCGCCTCCATCAGGCAGCGCGCGGCGGCGGCCACCTCCTCAGCGTCCGCGCGCAGCGCCCCCGCGCGTGGCCTCCGCCCGTAGCGCCGCCTCCTCCTCGCCTAGCCTGTGCGATGACAGTGCACGATGGATGGCCTCCTCTTCCTGTGCCATTCTCTCCGCCGCCCACCGGGCTACGACCTCCACGCCCTCCGCCCAGTCCCATGACTCGGGTGGGAGGACGTCGTCCTCATCCTGCAGCGCCGCCACCCTGGCCCATAATGCCTTGAAGTCCTCCTCCAGGCCTGCATCATCGTCGGAGTCGGCGTCGTTCTCCACCACCAGTAGGTTCTCGTTCGTCAGTAGTGACATGATCTGCATCTGCTCCTCCTCGTCGTACAGGCAGTGCGCCGCCGCGATCGCCATGGTGTAGTACGACGTACGTGTAGGTATGCCACCGAACTACCGATCGACAGATGTGTGTGCTTTTGCGTTAGATGCGCTTGGCGTGGCGACCGAAGATCAATTTATCACTACCGGACTCAGGCTCTTTGCCGAGTGCCTGTGACACTCGGCAAATCCCCATATACACTCGGCAAAGCCTTTGCCGAGTGTAACCGTCGGCAAAGATCACTCGCCAAAGCCGGTGACGGCAAAGGCCTCTTTGCCGAGTGTGCCACTCTTCATGACTCAAGGTCTTGAGGGTCTTACCACTTGCACTTCCGAGTTGCCCTCGGAAAAGGCTGAAGTTCGATTCATTTTCCCCAGCATTGTAACGAGGGGTGGATTATGCACGCTAGGAAGGTTGTCACCATAGTATGTTGTTGTGAAGTTTGACACCTCCTCCAGAATCGATGCCTCTGCGATGGAAGCTTCAATCTTGCATTTATTTCTACATTTCTTTCGAACAACCTTTAGGGTTCTCTCAATTGAATAGCACCAACGGCCCTGCACAGGCCCCCCATTCGTGCCTCATACGGGAGGTGCAAAATCAAATGTTGCATCGGATTAAAGAAGCCTGGTGGAAAGATCTTCTCCAGCTTACGGAGCAACACAGGTGTCATTTTTTCCATGTCTGCAACTACGGCCCGAGATAACTCCTTAGCACAAAGCTGGCGGAAGAAATAGCTCAACTATGTCAGCACTTGCCAGATATGATCTGGGACATAGCCTCGAACCATCACCGAAAGAAGCCGCTCAAGCCATATGTGGTAGTCATGACTCTTAAGCCCATTGATTCGCATAGTAGATAAGTTCACTCCCCTCCTCAGATTCGCTGCATACCCATCAGGGAACATTAACGTTTGGAACCATTCTAGTACTTCCCTCCTTTGGGGCCTGCTTAACGTGAATAGACCTAGCTGAAATCAGGTGATAGGCCTAGGAAGCTAGGACTGACAATTGAACTGATCACAATTTTGGCTGCTACATATGCCCATGTATGGATGGGGTGCATCCTTCTGCTATCATGATATTTCCCGACTTATTACTGTAGCAGAGAGGTCATGTACCATCAGCACTTCTAAATTCTAATTCAAGCTCGTTTCAAGCTATATTTGGTCAAAAACAGTATGTGCATTCCAGAAATATTATAGCAGTATCCATGAATGAAAGCATTTAAAATTTGCCGGCTGAATAACAGTAAGAATGTTATGAGACAAAAAGAACATACTTTGGGGGACAAATGAATCAGTGCATTCAGATTTTTGCAGTTCCTTTGATGTACGTACCTACACAGAACTGAGAAAGGATTAATGAAAAGAAAAAAAATCCACAAAGGCTAATGATGACAAATTATTTTCCCACACAGCAATAGCAATGATTGCAGAGAATGCACTACATAATCAGAATTAAGCAAAAAAAAAAAAAGCCATAGAATCAGGATAACTATCTAGATTGTCAAGGGCATCTGCTCTTATCTGATAGACATGGTAACAAATAGCTAAGCATCAAAGGACATGCCTCAGACTTATCCTTATCCAATTCTGACGTATAAAATGTGCATAGGTAGTAAAATTCACGTGCATGTTATAATTTATTCTCAACTAGTTGCACCAGGTAATGCCATGCATGTTGCATTCTACTTAAATGTGCCTAGATGGTTGTAGGTTACAACTTGCAACACATAAATCTGCAGAAGTATGGCACGTTATTGTATATATATATAGTATAAAATAACAATCCAAATCAGCTGTAAAACGTTCCGAATTTATGAAAATGTAGTAAGGAGCACTCCCTTCATTCGAAATTACAAAATCATGTAATAACAAAATCATATTCATAAGTATTTTTCGATTCAAATGTAATAACATCAATTTGTGCCAAAAAAAACTCATGTATTAACAAAGAGATTATTAGCCAATCAAAGAATAAAATATGTCAAACTGAGGGAGCAGTTAATAAGAGTCTGGCACAATATCACGGTTCATGACTAACAAATAACAGCCCAACTCTATATGATAGCAGAACAGAACATATGACTAACAAACATATTTCTTTGCATTCAAGCATCGTTTCCAAAAGCATTCGATTCATATTATGCCATATCGAAAGGCCATCCAGTTGCTAAGACTACTGAGTACGTGCACCAGAAAGCCCTGTTCAGCAAAAACTACTGTATGTAGCTATCTACAGAGATTTCATCACTATCTCGGCAACATGAGCTGATTAGCTGATGCGCACACAAAAGAACTCAGTCTGACTGCAATTCAGCAAACCCATCAGTTTTAGTGCAACCAACATTCAGAACCATGCTTTGCATAGCAAAGGTCATGTCTACAAATTACAAATTAGATCAACTGCTTTAATGACAAAGCATATTCAGTGCTTGCAAACTAAACAAATCTGAAAATAATTCTTCGCATTCAAGCATCGTTTCTAAAAGCATTCGATTCACATTTAAGCTACTACGATTTTTTTACCTATGAATTACCGGGGCTGCAGAGGCCGGACACCGTGCCGGAGATGATCGCGAGGACGCTGGGCCCCAGGTGGTGCTTGACCGAGCGCAGTCTCCTCTCCGGATTGCGGCGCGGCGAGTGGATGGAGGAGATTGGCCGCGGGCGAGACGAGTCCAGGCGGCGGGCAACGCGCAGGCGCGGCGTTGCGGGCGGGGCGGTGACGGGGGCGGCCGGCGGGCCAAACTTTGCCGGTGGAGGCGGCTTCGGGGCCGCGGCTGGCGGGCGAGCGCGCCGGGCGCGAGCACGGCGGGCGGGCACGAGCGGGGCAGCGCGGGAGAAGGCGCGGCAGCGCGAGGATGACGGGCAGGGCGGGGGGCGACGCTGGCAGGGGCGGTGAGGGAGCGAGGGGAGGGAAGGTTGCAGAGGACGCGGTGAGGGAGCGAGGGGGCGGCGCTGGCAGGGGCAGTGAGCGTGCGTGCGTGAGTGAGACTCGGCCGTGGCAGTTAAGTCTTGGGTCAGGCCTTTGCCGAGTGTCCGCGATCCGGCACTCGGCAAAGCCGGGATTTTTTTAAAAAAACATTAAAAATCTTTGCCGAGAGTCAAGCCGATAAGGCACTCGACAAAGACTATACTTTGCCGAGTGTGAACCCTACGACACTCGGCAAAGGTATTTTTTAAAATAAACTTTTCTATTTCCTTTCCCTTTTTCTTAACCGTTTTTTTTTTCAAATTTGTTCCAATACACTTTGAAAATACCTTGTCAAATTCACTCAACAATGCAAATTTGATGCTTCAGCGAAAAATAGACCATGATTTCATGTAGTTATAGCTCAAATTCCATTTATATAATTGCAATTACAAATTAATAATTATCAAATGGATCCAAAAAATTGCTAAAATTTAACATGACACGATCTTTGATGTCTATTGGCTATACAAAAAGTTTCGGAGTCAAACCACAACTCGACTGTCACTTTCACTCCAAATCTTACCAGATCATTCTCAACAATCATGAAACTTCTTCGGAGATGTTTCGGTTTGTAAGCAATGTACGTGACAACTTATGCAACACCTTCTCAATTTTTTACCACAACCTCCACATATGATATCATGACATCTTATCAAATTTCATGATTTTTGGACTTCCTTTGCTTTTTATATAATTTAAAAACCATTCAACCACACGCTTGGGGTCGTGTTTCCGAAATAAGATGTTCGAAAACCCTTATAATCTTATAGGTAAGGCCTCAAACTGGGTTGAATAACATGAATATCAATTTTATACTCATTTTTTCCAAATATTTGAATCACTTGCGGTTCAAATTTAACTTAATTCAAAAAATTGCTTGAAATGCAATTAATTAGTTAAATATAGCAAATAAATTAAAAAATACACCAAACTTAAGCATGGAGTACCACATGTGGTATGTGGAGAGGTGAAAAATTTTGAAGTGCAGGAGTCAAAAAAAATTATACTTTGCCGAGTGTCTGCTTTTAACACTCGGCAAAGAGGCTCTTTGCCGAGTGTTGCATTTGTACACTCGGCAAAGAGCTAACGGCAGCAGGCTGGTTTAACGGCGGGCCAAAATTTGCCGAGTGTGAGACGTTGGCATGTCTGAGCACTCGGCAAAGAGGACGTCTTTGTCGAGTGCCAAAACTGAGGACTCGGCAAAGACCAGCTTTGCCAAGGGTCGTGGCGTTGTCGAGTGTTCGAGTTTGGGCACTCGGCAAAGACAGCCTTTACCGAATACCCGAGATAAAAAAAAAAACTCGGCAAAGTTCTGGCCACTCGACAAATCTTGCGATTCCGGTAGTGTATAGACGGGAACGGGAGAAGAGACGAAGAGAAGCCGCGCGTGGAGGCGGTGGATTCACGCGTATCGGACTCGGAGTCGGATCAGAAATCGATTGCGTTTAATTCACGCGTGTCCGACTCCGACCTCAAACGTAATCCAATAGCCATGGGACTTTCTTATTTCCTCCTTTGCCTCAGAATTCAAAAGCTACCGGGATTACCTGCGCTCCAAACCGCAGTTTCGGACACTGGTCGGCTGTTCCTGACAAGAAAGCAATTATGAAAATGTAATATATATACTAAATCCGTCCCAAATTATAGGACGTTTTGGCTTTTCTAGATACATTAATTTTACTATGTATCTAGATATAGTATATATCTATGTGAATAGCAAATGCAACGTATCTAAAAAAAACCAAAACGTCTTATAATTTACAACGGAAGGAGTAGCACCCATTGCTATATATCTGCTAGTGTCTTTTTTTTTAAGAAGTTCTGCGGGTGTCTCTCAAGATCTGGACTTAGAGATACTGTTAACACAAGTGCTAAACAATACGTGAATGGGCCTATGGTCAAGTGGTAGGGCTGTTAAAGTAACACTACCCACCGAACCCTGGTGTCGCACATTTTTCTGGTGTCGTGCCTAGCCTCCCTTGCACGCGGCATGCAGACAGGCTACCTCTTGTGGCCGCTCAGCCACTGCCGTGGCAGCTAAGCCGGCCCCGCTCTGTCCGCATGGGCGCCTGCGCCGTGTTGTGCACTGGTCGGCAAAGCCCCCGCGGGGGCCGCGCCCCATCCCCACCGTGCTTGCTAGCCGGCTACCGCAATTCCTCACCAGATAGGCCATGCCTGCAGGCGACGCCGTATTTCAAGTGTTTCAGACGGTTTCAAGTGTTTCGTCTAGATTTTGCAAATGTAGATCTGAGATGTTGCATATGTTACAATGACAATATACGCATGTTGTAAGCCTATAATTCAAATGTTTCATGTGTTTCAGATATATGTTAAGCGTTTCATCCTGATGTTGCAAATGTTGATATGTCTGTACACGTATTTTTAAGCGTATGTTTCGAGTGTTTCAGATGTTTTAGACTTATGTTGCAAGTGTTTCATCTGAATGTTGCTAAAATAACGCATAAAACCAGTAAACTCTTGTCGCACCAACTAAATGAAAACTTGAATCTCAAACCATATACTTGGCAAAAGGCTTTATTGGTTGACTGAAGATCAGAGGAGCCACCACCTCTCATCCATCAATTATCAGATTCAACAGCGCTCTTGGGTCCCGAAGCAGGACCTGAAGATGAGCAAGCCACACTTTGCCCTGGTGACGCCCTCACTGATGCAGAGCTTGTTACTTGTCTTGCTGCTCCAACTGAGCAATATCCTGTACGTGTTGCTCAGCCACTTGTCACATGCATCTTTCCTCCCACAGCCTTCAAACGAAAGCAAAAATATTACAATGAAAGTTCCCATCAGCAGTTGCAAATCAATTTCATTTGCTTTCAAAAAAGAATCAGACAGCTTGCAAGCAATTATTCTCGTTCTTTGCCATCGTCGTGCAGAGCGTTCCATGTGCAGCGTAATTTAGTTCTCTTTGTCTGCAGATGGACTTACTTGGAGCCAAGCAGAGGCAAAGCCAGGTGTATGCAATGCAACCCCTATGCAAGATATACCCTCTATATGTAAACGATTGTTCACCATATTAATCACTCAAAAAGTTCAGTTCAAGCCCATATCGATTCATTTACTTACAATGTGGCCTGCCTCATGAATCTGGCTTCGCCCCTGGAGCCAAAGAGGAGTGCCATGAGCAGCAGGGTGAAGCAGAATGTCACAAGAGCTCATGACCGGAACAACAGCTGCACAGCTGCTGCTGTAATTTATTTTGGTCAATAAGTGGCTCCAATGGACGTTTTCTGCAAATAAATAGTAGCTTGACACTGTCAGTTAAAGGTATCTAATCAAAATTGGAATGCTTGCAGGTAGTGACGAACACACACCAACATAGGGTCCATTACACACAATTAGTTAAGCAAACTGATAAGTGTAACTAAGCATAATATAAATCACCATGTTGGAGCAGCAGATCGGTCCTATGTCCAGAAAAAAAAGGAGAAATGAGAATAATAGAGTTCAGAACTAATAAGAAATTTCAGAGTAAAAAGCATAAGGATGCATTTTTTTTTTTTTGTAGCAGTACCATAAGGCAACTTAGTACTTGAAGCAGGTTTGCTAGCTATGAGAGGTTTTAGAACTGTTGAGTCACTTGAGAATTAAAACAAACCTCTGCCTACAAGTTTTAATGCATAATTGGTCTGCAGGAAGATGAGTTGCATGCTAGACAATCATGCATCAAATAAGAAAAATGAAGAAATGAATATTCATACAGATTATAGTCTTTTCAGAATTTTAAATGGGTTTACACAATCAGGTGCAAACTGCAAAGCAGTTAACATATTCAGAGACATAAACACAGCATGATTTTCTGCAGTACTTGGTATAGTTAATATATTCAGGACAAGTTGTAGAGTTGAAACCCAACATGATCCCCTAGTCACGGTTCAGGCACGTCAATAGCCTCTTTCCAAACACTCCTATCCAAACAAAGGTCTCTAGGTATATCCCAACCTTTCAACAGTCAACAGTCTCATTCTTCTCCAAGCACTCTGCAGCACGTGGGCAGCAATCACATTGTAAGCATCAATATGATTAGTTCTTGCAGGAAACACCAAAAGCAAAGTCCTACAACCAAATAGATGCAGTTAGAACTTATAGAATATAGAAACCACCATTGCAGAAAGCAGATGCTTCCAAAACATTTACTTGAATGGTTTCCAAAGTGACAAGGCATAGTAATTTTAAGGGTGGACTATTCACAGTTCAGTTCAGCTCACAGCTCGATGTCAATGGCTCAGAAGGAAAAGATGCATAAAACTAACATGTTTTTTTTTATCCGAGAGGTGACAATCTTATTGCAGTAAGCACTAATGTAGAAAACACACAGATACACATCATCAATTTAAGTTCCATTATGTTACAACAATATGACAAAGTTGACATAGTCTAGCTCCCAAACAAATTGGCTTGTGCGACCAACCCTAGCTAGACTGAACAACGAACAACATCTGAGATTGTGATCCCAACACAAGAATAGGCAGAAACCCAAAACAACCAAAAGGTTTGTGCATCTGAGCTTAATTAGGCTGATAAACGAGTACTTTTACAGCAAACATATGCAGAAGACAATCTGCTTTTTATACACTGACAACGTTGTTTGGGAAACACTACTATATATGGTACTGCCCCTCAGCTCAGTTGCTCTAAGGAATCATAAATATAATTAGTGACTTTAAACTGCAACTAGGCGTGCCCGTCACAAATCACATGTACAAACACTAGAAACCAGTTCCATAAAGCTATGCCAAGTGAACAGATAAAAGTTTTAGTTAATGTTTAGAGCATTTGCTTAGGCAGGAGGCAGGGAGTGAACAGATATAAGGTCCAAATTATCGAAACTGAAATCAACAAATAGTACCCAGACTAAACACATGTCAACAATATTACAGCCCCATTGGGATATATACAAGCCCTTCTAAATTTGAAACAATTGTCCAAAAGTTTGACGATAACTTAGCGCTCGTCCTTTTCTATTTCATTAATGATTTGTTGACTACTGTGGGATGTACAAGGCTCCCCCACATGGCAATAACTGTACAAAACAGCAACCAGATCATGAATAGGCTTTCCCTTTGCTACAACAAAGAATACTAGCACAAGAAAATCATGCAAATATGAACTGACTGCAAGTCTCTAACGTAAGCAAATTGTCCAATAGCAAGCGCACTATGTGGTGACCATAAAGATCTAAGACTTGGATGAACCCACAATTATTGCTGTACAAACATAAAGCTATTCCAGCATCACAGTCACACGATAATAATTTTGAAGGTATGTGAACCACAAAAGTCTCAAGACTTACTGTACCTCTCCATGTCCTTGAATCCTCCTTGGTGACATAGATGGTGGGAAACCAAAATACGGCCAGGAAATAATTCTACCACTTGTCCTACAGGCTCTCTCAATATTGCAAGACTTAACCTCGAGAGAGAAATACTCTAAATATGTTTTATCCTGTTCTTCTATAATGTGTCTTAGGAAAACATATCCTTCAGCTTGACCAGCAATAAAAAATTTACTAGGACCATGGACAGGCAATGGGATGGTACTCTTCAAATGCCACTTATGGGACTTGTCAGCACCATTTTGCATAAAGGTGTAATATTCCACAGACTCTTTACCAAGTGTACTAAACATCGCAACCTTGCCTTCCCCTGAGTCCACAATGACGATACTTCTCTGGTGATGACCAGGAGGGAGGTCATACTTGGAGAACTCCATAGTGTCCATGTCAAGCTTGAGCAACTCGTTTCTGCAGTATGTTTTCCAGTAGAAGCAACCATAGACGCATTGGCCTGGATGATTTAGGCAGTCGTCAACTTCTTCAGGCAAGCCTAGATCAGCCCAACTGATAGATTTAACGGCAGCCCAGTGAGCAGAGCTTGTTTTTGTTGAGAAGATAAATACCGCCAATCTTGTCTTGGAAAACATCCGGCAGATGACGCTGAACGACGTTTCCTCCTCCGTGCCTCCAGAAGGGATCAAGGAGGCCCAGGATTTGTGCATGTCTTTGTTATGGAGGCCGACGGAGGCGAGTAGGTCGTCGGTCATGGGAGGCAGCAGCAGGTATCGCTAGAACAGGGGGTCGCACACCGCGATGTCCCAGCATTCGCGGAGGCGCCAGAAGTGGCACTTGTGTCCGACGAGGACACGCCCATCGCGGACATCATACGCACACCAACCTTGCGGACCATGAAGGAAGGACAAGTCGACGGTCCGGGCGACGCCACGGGCGACAGCCGCAGAGGGATGGGTCGCCTCGACAGGGTGGAAGCCATCTCGGTTGACGAAGCCGAGAAGTAGCGGCGGGTGGACGGAGCGGTATCGGCGGAGGAAAGACGGGCTGCTGATGAGGCCGCGGAAGGAGACGCACGCGGCGGAGGCGCGGGCGAGGTCCGCGGGGGAGGCGACGCGCAGGAAGATCTCCTCGAGGACATCGCTGACGAGTGCCGGCGGCGGCCTCTCCGGCTCCATGGCATCGAGGCAGGGGAGAACCGGGAGAGCACGAGACGCCATGGCCGACGTCCCTCCCGCTCCCGCCGCCGGCGAAGGGAGGAAGGGAATCGAACGGATTGGGGTTCGGGCCGCAGTAGTAGACTAGAGTATAGTTTTCCAAACGGACCAAGCCCGCTGGGCCGACACGGGCACGGTACGAAAACGGCCCGGCCCGGCAGCTACCGTGCCCGTGCCAAGCACGGCACGGCCCCGTGCCCCTGCCTGGGCCGCGATGCCAGCACAATGGCACGGCACGGGCACGGCCCGCTTCAACGGCTGGCACGGGGGCGGCACGGCCTCGAGCCGTTGGATGGAGCCCCCCGCCTGCTGACCGTTGGATCTAGGGGTCGGGTGGGACGGCTTTATAAGCCAGCCGCCGCGGCGTCGCTCCTAGCTCGGAGCCTTTCCAAACCCTATCTCATTCCGTCCCCTGTCCCCATTCCAGTCGCATCGAGCTCTCCGCCTCTCCCATCGACTGAAACCCTAGCCGCTCTCCTCTCTTCTTCCCGCCGTCCGGTGGCTGGTTAAGGCGGCGGTTGCTGGCACAGGCACACGACACTTCTACACCACTCTTCCTTCTCCCTGATCGTCGATGTAGCTTTCTCGTCGAGATCCACCACAGTTCGTCTTCGTCTCTGTCTCGTCGCTCTCATCGACGTCGCCGGAGTCCGGCATCATTGGTGCTCTGCTCTGATGCATTGAGGTACCAGGGTGTCGGGTCTCCGCGACGTCGTCGTCGCCGTTGTCTCTAGTGCTCCATCAAGAGAGGTGAGTCATAACCCTAAATCTGTTCGTTTTTGTTCTTCTTCTTGATTTCTTCATGATCTTCTATTAACCCTAGGTGTTCTTGTTATTCTTGGTTTTGGTAGGCGTTGGCGTTGAGGGACCGAAGGTCGGCGACGACGAGATGTCGGACGAGCAGGAGGACATCGGTCTCTCCATGACCATCAACGACGAGCTGCGCCTCTACGGGATGACCGAAGACAACGAGGACGATGTCGCTGGGGATGCCGAGGAGCTCTTCGGCCGTCGTGCTGTCGAGGAACTCTACGGCCATACTGCTGCTGACCCACTTCCCGTCGACGACACTGATGCCCCCAACACCGGCGGCACCGTCCAGGACGACGCCGCTGCTGATGACGGCTCCAGCAGCATGCCTAATCGCCCTTCTACCTCAGTATGCTGGGAAGATTTCGAGAAGCTCACCAAGAAGATAAATGGTAAGGTTGTCAGGTATGGTGCTCGGTGTCTTCACTGCCGTAAGGAGTATTCTACGTACTCTAGATTTGGGACTAGCCACATTCTCCATCATCAAGACTCTTGCCCTAAGAAGCGTGAGAAATATCGCATGGCTCAGTCCCACATTACTTTCAATAAGGACGGTACTATGCGTAATTGGGAGTATTCGGCTGAGGTTGCTCGTGTTCAGCTTGTTCATTTGCTTGCTAGGTTAGATCTTCCCCTCCGTCTTGGGGAAACTGAGGCCTGGGAAGATTACATAAAAACTGCTCATAACCCTAGGTACACAACTGTTTCTAAGCAAACTACAGCTAGAGATCTTTTTAAGTACTTCAATAAAAAGCGTGATCGTTTGATTAATGATTTGAAGAGTAATACCATTTCATCTGTTGCTATTACCTCTGATATCTGGTCTGGAAATGCAAAAGAAGATTATTTGAGTGTTGTTGGTCATTACATTAATGCTTATTGGCAACTTGAAAAAAGGATGCTTGGCTTAAGGCTTATTGATGCATCACATAATGCTGATAACATTGTTGAACGTGTTAATAATGTGCTTAATGATTATGGTATATTCAAGAAGGTTTTTTCTGTTACTTTGGACAATGCCTCTGCTAATATTAAAGCTATGGATAAACTGAAACCTGTACTTAGAGAGTATTTGGGTGCTGATCTGTTTTTGCATCAACGCTGTGCTTGTCATATCATAAACCTGATTGTTAAAGAGGCTCTGGTTGTTGTTAGTCCTATACTTGATGCTTTCAGAACTGCTATATCATTCATTAACTCTTCTAATCAGAGAGTTGCTGCATATAAGAGCTATTGCATGGCATCTGGTATTAGACCTAGGAAGTTTGAATTGGACATGTAGGTTAGGTGGAACTCTACCTACCTGATGCTTAGGCATTTGCTACCACACAAGGAAACTTTCCATACTTTCATTGAGTCTAATTATCCTAGAAAAAGAGCTGACCCCTTTCTTTTGACTCATGAGCATTGGGCTATGGCAACTAAAATACTGGAATTCCTTAAACTATTTTATGACTCAACAGTTGCTTTGTCTAGTGTGTACTATCCTACTGCTCCACTTATGGTTCATCATATTGTTAAGATTGCTATACACCTGTATAGGTATCAAAATGATGAGCATATTAGAACTGTTGTCCAACCTATGATTGATAAGTACAATAAATATTGGAGAACCATACCTGAACTTTACTGCATTTCATTTATCTTGGATCCAAGAGCTAAAATTAAAGGTTTTAACAAAGTTCTTAGGAAGTTAAATTTGCTTACTGATGCTGATTATTCTAATAAGATGGTGGAAATTAGAACTCTTCTTTTTAAACTGTATCATAAGTATGATGATTTGTATGGCTCTGTTAGGGCGAAAAGGCCTGACCCTCCAAGCCTATCTGGTAAGAAAAGAACAGCTTGGGCTGAGATATATGATGATGATGGTGGTGGTGGTGGTTTGCTTGGAGCTGGTTGTTCTTCTCTTCCTCCTAATCTTGATATGTCCAGGACTATTCCTGCTACTACTTTGTTACATGCAGCAAGTTCATCTAACACTGGTTCTGAACTTTCAGCTTATCTGGACTATGACACAGTTAGCCAGATGGATGATGACTTCAACATCTTGAACTGGTGGCATCAGCATAAACTAACATATCCAGTTCTTTCTACCCTTGCTAGAGATGTTTTTAGTGTGTCTGTTTCTACCATTTCTTCTGAAGCTACTTTTAGTACCACTGGCAGGATCATTGAAGACCGGCGGCGGAGGCTGAACCCTGAAACTGTGGAGGCACTCACATGCATCAAGGACTAGGAAGCTGCAGAGACAAGGCTACAACATATGGTGGAGGATAAGGAGCTCGAGGAGGCCTTTGAACAACTTTATCTTGATTAGTCATTTATGTAATGATTTTGTAATCTTAAGACTTGGATGCTTTGGACCTTTAGTTGTGGATGTAATGAACAATTAAACTTATAGAGTTGGTTGCACTCTTTTTCCCTGTCTAGGGTTTCTCACAAGGGTGAGTTTTACCTAGACAGGTTTTTAATGAGGTAGCCATTGCACAGCTCCTTTAATTTGGTATTTTGTTATCTCTGTCTTGTGTTTTCTTCTTTGTGATTTCAGATTCATCAGATTTCAAGTTTGTTTTTTGAACTGTTCTTTTGATTCTGATCTGTTGAAGTGGTGATGTGATTTTAGTGCCGAGGCACGGCACTAGTCCGCTGGGCTGCCGTGCCCTGTGGCACGGCACGACACTATCTGAGGGCTTTAGTGCCGTGCCTGGGCCAGAGTCTGGGCACGGTGGCACTACACGGCACGGCAGTGACATCGTGCCTGATAGTGTCGTGCCGTGTAGTGCTAGCCGTGCCTGATAGTGTCGTGCCGTGTAGTGCTAGTGCCGTGTAGTGCCAGTGCCGCCCGTTTGGAAAACTATAGACTAGAGGTTTCTTCCTAGAGCTAGCCTCGCATATATTTTAGGGTTATTTGGGTTATGTCATTATATTTTTTTATGTTTGGAGAAACATCATTACTATTATGGATGAAAACGGGATGGGAAATTCCCGTACCGACCGACACCGTATACCGCATTAACCGATCGCATATCGTTTTTGCATGAAAAATATGAAACGGGAAACCGACGCCGTATTTTAGGCAGGAACGTGAACGAAGTTAAGGGATTTTCCCAACCGTATTCATGGTTTCCGTATTTGGGCAGAAAAATTCCCGATGATATTCTCGTATTCCCGCGCCGGCCCACTGAATGTCTGAATCACTGATTGATGCAGCCCAGCCCACTCCCGTCCGCTGGCGGCCGGCCCCACTTGTGAATTGAAAACTACTTGTGTTACTGTTGTGGGCTTGTGGCTGCTGGCTGGAGACTTGTGGTTGACTGGCTGTGGGCTTGTGGCCGCTTGCGGTTGCCTGTTGGCTTGCCTGTTCACATGCACTATTTTTTTATTTGAACCGTTGCCTGTTGGCTTACTGTGAATTGTGAACTATTTTTTTTTTGCCTGTTAGCTTGCTGTTGCATATGGTTGCTATTATTGCATCAACCTCATTGTTTTAAGTGGTTACATATATTGATGTTCTCGTTTTGTGTTACCGCTTCCCGATCGTAATCGAGACGTTCCCGTTCGAAATATTCCGTTCCCGATATCCCATAATACCGGTTTCGTTTTCCCGTCCGGCCTTCCGTTCCCGGCAAAAAAATACAGGAGCGGGAATGGTTAAGACATTTTCCCAACCGTTTTCATCTCTAATTACTATTCATCTATTTTGATGCATGTCATTATAATTCTTCGTTTCCCACAAAAATACCACTGAATACGTATGGACACAGCCTGGGCCCAGCTGCAGGCATATACGAAGATGTATACTTCATCTCCCCTGTCACTGACACGTGGGCCCCACATGTCATCTTCTTCTTCCTCCTCTCCTCCTCTCTCTCTCTGGCTCTCTCTTTCTCTCCATCCCGACGCGGCCACGGCGAAGCGCCGCTGCGGCCGGCGGCGGTGGGCTTCTTGCGGCGAAGCCGACGAGTCATTGTCAGAATTCCACAAGGCCGTGGGCAAGGCAACCGGCGACGGAGGCGCCACACAACCGAGCAAAGCAGGACGCGCCGGCGCGCGCTCACCAGCCAGCGGCGCGCGCGGACGCGGCAAGCCACATGCTCGTGGGTTCGACCGACGAAGTCATTGCCGTGGATCGTGACCGTCTTGCGGCG